AGATGGGGAGGGCGGGGTCCCGCGGGCGAGGGGCGCGAGCTCCGCCCCGGCCACCTCCCGGGGAGGCGGCGCGAGGCGGCCAAGAAGGAGGGGGGGAGGGCGGAAGGGGGCAGAGGCGGGGGGGCGGGGCCGACGGCCGGCGGCGGCGGGAGGGGCGGCGGCGGCGGGAGGGGAGCGGGGGAACCCTAGCGCGAGGCTGTGGTCAGGCCAGGGTAATTTAGCTCCGTGGTTTGAGGAAATGAATGCATGCATGTAGCTGTCCGTTCTTGGGATTTGTGAATGTGTCCTGAAATGACCTGGAAATGAGGCTGCAAGCGGAATTCCAGTCAGAGTCGTGCTCTACTGATAGCGATTTGGGCTGATTCTAGAGCAATTTCTTAGCAATCAGTTAAATCGGACCAAATGGAATTTTCCGTCAGGTCCACACTAATTTCCTGCTGTCACTCTCAAGGAGAACAGAAGAACTGGTGGATCATGGCCACATTAGATTGACCATAACGATATGATGTTTAAACCTCAGCTTAGAAGAACGAGAATAAACAGAAATATATACTTAGGCCTGAAACTCGTGGCTCACGGGAAGTCTGCCAAGCACAACCATATAAACCAAGCAAGGCATGGCGAAATCTCACTTGAAATGATACTTTGGGAAGCTGAACTTCCGTGAACTGGATTAGGTATTCAAAAACATCTTGCTACATTATTAACTTCGCTATATTAAGGCACGGCAGTTTTTTTTCTTCAGATAACATATAGAAACATTGTCGATCGCATTGATGTGATGCGACAAGCTCTGTGAGAACTTCAGCAGCCCTTCCTTCACCTGGAGAAAAGCTCTGTGCCATCTCCTACATATCAGGTATGGTCCGGGCAAAAGCTCTGCGGTTTGAGGAAATGAATGAGTGCTTATAGCAGGGACAGCTGTGTTCCTGATGCCGTGTTCTTGTGATTTACAAATGTTTCCTGAAATGACCTGGAAATGAGAATACAAACGGAATTTCAGTCAAGAGTGTGCTGTACTGATAGCTATATGTGTGAACCATTGCAGAGCAAGTATTGTAGAAGCAGCAGCAACCTCAGTCTCAGCAGCCGCTCCAATTTCTACCGCATAAACTTCAGTCGTGTAAACAATCGAAATGACTTGTGAAACCACCGTGCTTACACCACTTCTTTTGTATAGGAAAGATTATGTGACAAAACCATGTAAGGTCAAACGGATGCATATATGGAAACCACGTTCGGGCCATGCTTTTGTGTTTATTCAAAAGAAACATGCTGACTTTGCCAGCCCAAATGCCAAAAAATTATAGAGCAATTTCTTAGCAAATCTGTTAAATCTGACCAAATGGAATTTTCCGTCACGTCCGCACTATCTCCTGCTGTCAATCTCAAGGAAAACAGAAGCACTGGTGGATCCTGAACACACTAGATTTGACGATGGCAACATGATGTTTAAACTTTAAACCTCAGCTGAGAACAAGAATAAACAGAAATGTAAGTTTAGGTGATATATGCTTGGGCCTGAAGCTCGTGGCTAACTAGAAGAGCTGCCAAGCACAACCATACAAGCCAAGCAAGGTATGACCCAATCTGACTTGAAATAATACTTGGGGAAGCTGAAAATCCCTGAATAGGATTAGGTATTCAAAAGCATCTTGCTACATTGTATAGTTGGCTAGATAAAGGCACATGATGCGGAGCATCCTACGGTCATCCCAATGGACCGACCATCGTCTCAAGAAGTGCCAAGAGGGCCTATGACTAGAGCTAGAGCTAGAGCTCTCGAGACCGAGGTGACTTCTCTCCTTAGTGATATTGCATATCATCACACATGAACATCATGATTTACACAGAGAGAGAGAGAGAGAGAGAGAGAGAGAGAGAGTTTATATATATATATATATATATATATATATATATATATATATATATATCTACCTATTTACAGAATTGCTCTTTGCTTTATTTATATCTTTGAACAAGATGCTTTCGAGATTACAAGTCTTCTATCGATCTTCCATTTCCTTTCCTTTGCATCTTCATTTGGTTATTGTTTGCCTCTTATGCATTCTCAAAAAATCTCCAGAAAGATTGCATTTGTTTTTTCGTTTGCTTTCTTGTCTTTAGAACCATTATACCTACCTACCATGACTAAGTCATTCAAAGTAAGCTTTCATTGTTGCCCCGGTTGTTCTTTTTTGCTGCCTAAGATTTTGAAGGAGGAAAATGTGTAGTTTTCTGTTCCCCTAGTAATGGCTTCAATGAAAATAAAAATAAAATATATTAAAAGAAAGTTGAGTTTAAATTTAGAGACCTGGAATTGAATTGTTTTCACGAACTTGTGATGGTGCGGAAAACCATAATAACAATGCAAATGGACATCATCATAAGGAGCAATGAAAAATAAAGTTCCAATTCACTAAGGTTTGAGCACCAAAAACCAAAATGTTGGATTGAATCTTTTGGGATCACTGAGATCAGGATGCATGTCGAGTATAATTTTTGGAGATGCCCGTAGTGACATTGGGATGACTCTATGGATAATACGTTAGAATGATAATTATAACGGTCATGAGGTGATTGTTTAGTCTAATTTTTAGGGCTGTCTGAAGTGACATTGGGGCTGCCTTATTTTTTTT